AGAACCGCTGCTTTAGAACATTGATTTTGAAACTTGTGAATCCATTAGAATCGTTAGAAGACAGAATCGCGATTCATATATGAACAGATTTTTACGTGCACCTGTAGTTTTCTCTTCCTCTTCTCTAAAGCAGCGCTGCATGGCCTCGCTCCCTTTGCTACCTTTTCCCGAGGGCGGGGTTTATCTGGGTTTGTGATGTCACGAACCTCGTTGTAGTCCCTACTAGCTGTTTTTGTAGGCATTAAATCGCCCAAATTTTAAAAGACGATATCTCCGTTTGCATTGAACTTTCAGCTTTGTAACTTTGCAGATATTGTTTATGCTCAAACAGCAACATTACACACTAACTAATGTTAAAAAAAGTGAAATCGCAATCAACCACCCCTTTAATAAAGCCTCAATTGGATCCCAACCCGACCCCAACCCGAGTGATGGTTCATTGCAATAGGTTTGTAGAGTATACAATTATGTTCTTCTTTTTAAATTTATTTTATGGTGATATGAATCAGACTGCATTCCAGAGTGCCTAAATATTGCTCCCAGTGGTTCAAAGAGTTAAGGCAATAAATACACACAATGCAAATGCAGATTTTTATTTATTTATTTATTTTTATTTTTTTTGGATAGCATGCTTTCCTCCATGATGTTCCTTCATGGACACCATTCTGGTTTGGTGGTTTACGTGTCATAGACATGTCAGCATGTTCCATAGATTTCTGTCTTTCACTCAGTCTTGATTTCTCTTAATATCATCAAGCAGGTGTTTTGAGGTGAGACACGGTTTAAGCAATGCTTTTGCGAATAGAATTCCAAATGTGTGTTTTTTTTATAGTGCAAAGGGGCTCTGACAAACACTTTCAATCTCTGCTCAATGCTTAAGGTTAGTTGAATTCTCTAATTAGCTTTTATTCATTAACCTATGGAATTGCATGGATTTTCTGTTTTTTTTTATTTTACTGTGCATCTCTTGAAAGTCTTCACACTTTCTTATTGACAGTTGAAGAAAGCATTGCCAAATAATTGCTCCTCCAGAATAGACAACTCCCTTGAAAGAAGCATAAAGCTCTGCATAGCAGCCTCCTCTGAAATGGTTTGCCAGGATAACTGATAAACATGGCATTTTGTAAGCATTAGTGTAGTATTCGAAATCTCATCCCAAGGGTCATTGCTACAGGACTGAGTAAAGTGGCATACTGCATGACAGATTAATTAAACACAATCTCTAGTAACAAGTAATTCTGAATTAATGCCACATGAATAACATTGCTCTCTTCAGTGCTTCTAGACAAATTAGGTGTAAAACTCCATATGTGACCCTGGAGCACAAAACCAGTCTTAAAGGTCAAAATTTTGAAATTGAGATTTATACATCATCTCAAAGCTGAATAAATAAGCTTTTCATTGATGTATGATTTGTTAGGATAGGACAATATTTGGCCAAGATACAACTATGTGAAAATCTGGAATCTGAGGGTGCAAAAAAAATCAAAATACTGAGAAAATCACCTTTAAAGTTGTCCAAATTAAGTTCTTAGCAATGCATATTATTAATCAAGAATTAAGTTTTGACATATTTACGGTAGGAAATGTACAAAATGGAACATGATCTTTACTTAATATCCTAATGATTTTTGGCATAAAAGAAAAATCTATAATTTTGACCCATACAATATATTTTTGGCTATTGCTACAAATATACCCCAGCGACTTAAGACTGGTTTTGTGCTCCAGGGTCACATATGCAGAAACATTAAAAAAAATACCCAAAATAAGCTATTGCTAAACATTTTCTTGATTGTTGTATACATTTTATTTAATTTGAAAATAATTGTTTAACTTAAGGGTCATTCACATGATTCTCTCTCACATTCTGCATGCAGAACCAGTAAAAACCAATTTCTAATAAAAATGCAGTAAATAATTGACCAAAGAAAAACACAGTATATTAGTATGTTTTGGCTGTGCTCTTGTTTGTTGTTATAATTTGCAGCTAGTATAATTTTAAAATGTGTATGCTCATCTATGGATAATGGTTTGGATATTTTACATCCAAACTATTTTATCCAAAGCAACTTGAATTGCATTTCAAGGTATACATTTTATTGTTTTATGCATTCCCTGGGAATATCCACATCATTAGCTGCTATCGGTCACTAAATAGAAGAATGACAAAGTGTGTCATTAAGAAGAAGAAGAAAAAAAAAAGAACAAGTGTGTTTATGATTATGATCATAAAATGTATAATAAATATCAGTTTGCAGTATTAAGCAACATGATGGACTAATTTTGTACAGCTAAAATAACCCGAAAGCGACTGACATGGCAAGCCTTGCACATTCAAGTTAAATCTGTGCCCACTCTTATGTTAAAAATAAAGTGTTGGTCCTTCCTCTGTGATCATTGAAACCCACTCAACCATACAAAACCACTCACTGAAAGTTTATGTGGATTACATTGAGTGAAATGTGTATAGCAGGTTTCTTCAATTAGGGCTACTGCCCTGCAAATTCCAATCAAACTTACCTGCCTGTAATTTTCTAATAACTCTGAAGACCTTGATTAGCTTGCACAGCGTTGAATGTGAGGAATCCTGGTGTACAGTCTCATTATCTCTGCCTTTTATTTAGGTTCACAGAGTTCCTGGAGCCTTTTGAAAGAGTTATCCAACCTGAGGAACTATGGCTTTACAAGAACCCTCTGGTGGAATCAGACCACATCCCAAAGAGAGTAATGTTTGTAAGTATATGTCATTCACATTCAGTACATTTCAGAACAGTTGTGCACTGCTCATAGTGGCTATGGTGATGCAATCTGTGAAATCCACACCTTCACAGAATTCATCATTCACACGCCTCTGCATGTTGCAATGTTTTATTAAATATTATGGCTAATTTGATCATGCTTTCAGATACCAATAAGACTGCATCACTTTACCTCTGCCAAACACATTTAGCATCTTGAAATCCAGCCTGGGAATGTTTCAATCACTAAGTGCACTGGATCAGAATATCAGAATGATTTCTGAAGGATAGTGTGACTGGAGTAATGATGAAAAAAAATTAGCTTTGAAATCACTATAAATTATATTTTAAAATATATTCAAATAGAAAACAGTTATTTGAAATAGCCT